AACCTCCCTAAGCCTCCGCTTTCTTTTCTGTGAAATGGAACTAAGAATGATACCTGCAAATATTAAAAGAATGAATGTAAGATTAGTTTATAAAGAGAAAAGCTGGGTATAAGTGTTGTAGTATCTACATTGCTATACAAAAGCTAAACGGTGTGAGATCTGGGTCTTGCTCAGGTTATTCTTTGGCAGTGAAGAATTTGGGGGTGATTGAGCCAGGTTCTTCCGTGAAGTTGAGGAGCTAGTGTTGGAGATGTAACATCGTTTTTGGCACTGAGAAACTGTTCTGGGTTTACGCCTTTTCATCTGATTCCTGGGTAGACACTAGGACACCCTTGTGGGGCATCACCCTGGGTCCTGCTGTGTTCTGAAATGAGGCCCATCTGTCTCACTCGTGATGCAGCCTGCTTCATCCTCAGGGTGTGCTGAATGAGTGAGGAGCTGAGCCCTCTGCCTGGGAAGAGGGGTGTGTTCCTGACTTAATTGCAGAAGAGTGTGCTGGCATAAGCACAGAAGGTAGTGTGTGTCTGCAGGATTGACTGTCCCTTACTAAACCAGGCCACGTGACTTTCACAAGCCAGCCTTTGGCACTGAACCCCCCTCCCCCGCCCCGCCCATGCCTCCTGCCTTTCTACAGGGCTGGATAGTAAAGCCCTTTCTCAGGCATTATTTGTGATTTCCCCTGTGACGTGACCAGTCTAGGTTTTCTCACCCCCACTTGACAAAGGAGGAAACTGAGGCCCAAGGAGTTGAACAGGCTGCCCAGGGTCAGGGCAGGGCTTTGACTGGAACCCACATGGAGAATGAAGGGAAGGCCTTTACCTCTGTTCAGTTGCTGTGGGCTTTTTAGAGCTTTCTGACAGAAGCCTTCTGAGGTGAGACTTCAGGGGACAGGTGGAGAAACACAAACTGAGAAGGCAGTTCCTTGTCCCAACCCATGAGGCTTTGATGGCAGGACCAGGAATTAGGCCTCCTGACTGCCAGCCCTTTGCTGCATTAGACCATGGGTTAGGTATGAAGGGAGGGGAACTGGAATATGCATGCTTTGTGCATATGTACCCCATGTTTTAGCATTCCCATCACTTCTGACTTAGTGTTGATAATGATTTTCGTTAGAGATTGGGTGCCTTCCCTCTCTTCCCTCTCTGGATAACACCCTGGGGTCTCTGTCCTAACCTAGAGAGCTCCTCGCTGCCTACCTCTTGCCCCCATAGCCAAGTTGGGCAACTTCTGCACTGTGGGGCCTGAACTCCTATCTTTGGAACATCCTAATGGGCAGATGAAGGCCCATCACCATCACTGCTTTTACCTGCCCATTACCAGGCATAATACAGAGTCACCTCAGCTCTGATTTTATTTTATTTATTTATTTATTTTTTTACCTCAGCTCTGATTTTTGCATTTGCGACCAGGGTGTGTCTGAATGTAAACTTCCATTCCTGTTACCCCCAAAGCCTAGGGTAATCTTCTGTCTTGGTTTGGAGCTGACCCATCAAGCAAAAGACTCCTGGTGGGAGAGACGACCCTTCCCTTCTCCCCCTTACTCCTTCCCTCGAATGTCAAATCAAAGAACTAAGGGAGAGGGTGATAAAAGGACAAGGAATAAAATGAGTAACAGCAGTATAGTATCTTTATCTGTCAAAGGGAGATGATCAGAGGACTGTTGTCAGGCGGTGTTTCTCAGCCCCGGCTGCACATCAGTCACCTGGGAAGTTTTTAAAGACCTCAGTTCCCAGGACGCAGCCCAGATCCAGGAGACTGGGATATAAATTCCCTGGGTGATACCGGTTTACAGACAGTTGCTCCAAGAATTAAAAGAGTTGGTTAACTGCTTAGAACAAAGATATTCCTGTATCAGGTTATGCACTAGACTCATCAGAAGGACTTTCAAAATGGTACTGATTCCCTGGCCGCATATTGCACACCATTTAAATCAGTGACTTCTGGGGTGCCTCTTGCTTGGCCTTCATGTGAGCAATACACTAGTAACAGTTATACTAGCTATCATTTTTTAAGCTGACTGTGGGCCAACATCGCAGGTATTTCCAGTCATCATGATTCCCTGGTAGGGAGTCATGATTCCCATTTTACAGATGAGGAAACTGATGCTCAGAGCAGAGAGCCACTCTCCCCAGGGGACAGCACAAGTTTCCTGAGTCCAGGCCTGTCTGCCCCAGAAGGCTGCTTTTGCTGCCCAAAGCCTGGCAGCCAAGAGGCTGGCCTTAGTGGAGCGTATTCTCCCCTCTTCTCCGTAGTGGCCCGGCAAGAGGGGAAAACCCATAGGTGGCCTTAGCTCTCCTTGGGCTCCCCAGGGCAGGTTGAGTGGAGGATCCCTCCCCCAGGAAGAGAGGGGGAGATGAGGGGTGCTGCTTGGTATTCGGCTCTCAAAATACCTCCTTTTGGTGCGAGGAAGTTGCCTGCATATTAGGACTGACCCCCGGTCACCTCTCATTGCCACAGCTGCTCTCTCTCACAAGGGGAAAACTCAACCAGGAAAAGCAAACACTCATTTGCGTTTTTGAGAGTTTGAGGAATTTTTAAGTCATGTGATACAGAAAAATGCCTCTATTTCCCTCTTAAGACAAAGTGAGGGGGCTATCTCAAGGTGACTGAAATATTTTGCTCTGCTTTATAAAAACCTTGCACCTCCACCTCTGTGCTCTGTAGGCTTAAACAAAATGCTTAAAATCCTTAAGCTTTGGTTTCCCCATCAGTCAGCTGGAAAGAGTAAGCCCTGTCTGCCCTCAAAACTGCTGATGCCAGGTCCCTAAGATGTCAGAGAAAAGAAAAGCATGGCCATCTTGACACGGAGACTCACAGTTGCCTGGGACTGGAAGCTTTGTCAGATGTTTCCTGGCTCCCGCTAAGGGACCCAATGTCCCTGAGGCCCATAGTAGCTCCAAGCGACCAGTGTTAGAGATCTCCCTGAATGTGTTCACTCTGGCTTTGGGAGGCCTGGCTTCACTCCGCTTGTGTCAGCTCCTGTGTGTAGACAACTAGGAGCCAATATTTGGGGCATAAATAGCTGAAACTTTATTTAAAAAAATCTTTTTAACATTTATTCATTTTTGAGAGACATGGAGAAACAAAGCACAGCAGGGGTGGGGTAGAGAGAGAGAGGGAGACACAGAATCCAAAGCAGGCTCCAGGCTCTGAGCTGTTAGCACAGAGCCTGACACAGGGCTCCAACTCACGAACCATGAGATCATGACCTGAGCCGAAGTCGGATGCTTAACCAACCGAGCCACCCAGGCACCCCTGAAACTTTAGAGTTAGTAGACAATGGAATATAAATTTGGTTCCACAAAGCCATCCTTGTCCAGCCTAGCCCAGGCCCCAGGGCCCCTCCTTCCCCAGAGTTCCCTCTGTACCTGTTATCTGTGCCTTTGGTCCTTGCCCCGCACAGGACCTGGCACAGACCAGACACTCAGGCAGCACTAAAGTGAATGAAGGATGAGGGGATGGAGACATACAGGAATATGTATCTGGTGATGTCTCTAAGGTGGTTGCCATAGAATGCTATTTAAGTGTTGGCATATCTATTCCTTGCTTGCTCTACTTGACTTTTTTTTTTTGTCACTTAGGTTTATTTTGAAGACTGTCTTACTGAGGATTATTCTAGGAATGGAGTGGTTCAGATGTGATGCTATTTTCTGAGGTTGAGGCAAATATCCCGAGAATTTCATCGTGTGTAACTCTTTTACCCCAGAGCCGCAAAGACAGTACATCTTAAGTGTGGAGTATGGCATCGCTTATTAAGCCATTAAGCTGAACCTGCAAACTTTCTGAGTTCTGTCTTAGCAGTGGGTATTGTGAGCAAACGTGGGGGCACTTGTGGGAATGATAGAAGGGGAGTAGGAAGACGCCAGGAAGGGTGACCACTGGGCCATCTCCAGGCCCTTAGAGCTGCCCACCCATCCTGACCACCTGAACTGAGATGGTGAACAGAAGGCTGCTTCCCTCCCCTGTGGAGTGGGCTGTCCTTGGAACGCTCAGAGAAGCTGGCTCAGGGCCACCTGCCACTCGCATGGACACTATTCCATGGCTACTGTATTGGTCTCCAGAATGAAGCATTTCTAGGCCCAAACCTGAGGGGCACTTAGCATATTCTTGACTTCTATAACTACTTAGTGGCTTTGTGGACAGTGAGCTGGGCACCTGAGCTGGCCATTAGCTCTGTGATGACCTCATGCTTGTCACTGACCTCTCCTGTGCCTCAGTTTTCTAACACTTTGCAATTCTATGGTCCCATCAGCCCTCTCGCTGTGACCAACTCCCCCTTACGGTTATTAACAGTGTTAGGCTGCCTCCACCCACCCCCGCCTCCTCCAGGATCCCACCAACCCAGCCAGCAAATCCTCTGGCCTTGTCTTTACATTAAGTGTATCACTCTCTTATTTTCTCTGTCTCCTTACTGAGGACTTGCTTTGCTCAGGTCATTGAAATTTTATTTGTTGGGCGGAGGTTAGGGGCAAAGGTACAAACTGAGAATATAGAGATATCACAATTATAAATGGATGAATTTATACTTGTGTCCAGGTAAGACAGACTCAAATTCAATAACTGTTACCATTAATATTTTGGCCGTACCAATATTTATGTTTTTCCTTGCTAATCTTTACATTATGTAGTATAAACCTCTGGACATTGTGATTTTATCTAGCGGATACTGGACTTGAGTTCTCATAGAGACTTAAGAACAATGAAACTGTGTCATCCTGATCAAATAGGAAACCGTTCAGGGCCTCGGTGTTTACATCTGCACACGGGGAATGACAATACTGGCATTCATTCCTAGTAAAGGCAAAGTACTCATATGAACAGAAGGAAGCCCAGTACCTGGCCCCTCTCAGCCACTCGTTACCTGGCAGGGGAGGATGCAGGCTGGTGATATAATTTGTCCTACTCTGGCGGAATGAATTAGTGTGGCCTGGGGCTGACAACTGGTCACTTCCTTGATGGACACAGTTACACCCTGATTGTGCTGGTCTGTGTCCCCACAGCGGCCAGTTTGCCATTGTGAAGAAGTGCCGAGAGAAGAGCACGGGGCTGGAGTACGCGGCCAAATTCATCAAAAAGCGGCAGAGCAGGGCCAGCCGGCGGGGCGTGTCCCGGGAGGAGATCGAGCGGGAGGTGAGCATCCTGCGGCAGGTGCTCCACCCCAACGTCATCACGCTGCATGACGTCTTTGAGAACCGAACCGACGTGGTGCTCATCCTCGAGCTGTGAGTGGGTGTTTGGGACCCATGGGGGCAGCAGAGGCAGGTAGGGTGGTGGGTGCTTCAGACACAGATCCCAGAGGGCAGCGGCAACCAGACCTCATGAGCTTGGCCCAAAGAAGGTGAAGTCAATGGTGGGTGGTTTTCGTTGGTTGCTGCCTCCCTCATCCTCCTTCTGAGCTTGGGCCAAAGGTGGGTGGGTTTGCTGAGCATCAGGCACAGAAGGCTAGGGTCTGGGTCTGGCTTTCATGGGACCCTGGGGATAAAAGGGAGGCAATGGCTGGCCCCTGGGTCGTTTCCTGGCGGAGCATGTGGGAGGATGGTGGGGGGTAGGGAGCGGTGTAAGAAGGTAGTATGAGGGGAGGAGAGGCTGTTCGGGAGGGGTCTTCTCTATGAGGAGGAGAGGAACAAACATCCTTCAGGCTCTGCAAAGCCCTTCTCCAGCCCTTTCTTGGGAAAAATTCCCACATTTGTTCTGTTTGATGCCTTCATTATCATAATAATAGCTATTATTTAGAGAGCCCTAGTATAAGGCAACCATTTGTCGATGCTTCTTGTTTGCCATCCTGTTCAGTCCTCACAAAGACTATTGAGGGAAGTGTCCTCCTAACACGGAGGAGTTACTTGGTATTCACTGTATTGAGCACTTCTGTTATCTTATTTAATTTTCATAAAAATCTTATCACACGGAAGCTCTTACTATCTCCATTTTACAGACAAGAACACTGAGAGGCCAGGTCTCTTATAAGACCCTAGAGCCAGGAAGAGGAGGGGCTTGAGTCCACACTGCTTGTGCAGACAGCTATGAGCATGAGGTGAGATGGCATTATGCTGGCCTAACTGGGCAAGACATCATAGTCTGATGATACCAAGACTCCAGGAATTGGCCACCTTGTGTCCCTCCTGGAGGTGTCTCCATGAAATGGGGAGATAGAGCTTTGGCAGGCAACAGAGTTTGAGTTGGACTGTACAAGTCACAATGGCTGTGTGCAATCAAGCAGCATGACCTGGTGTTGAGAGTGTTCCGAGCCTCATGGGCATATATGCATCTGCTGGTTGCAGAGGAGTGGCAGCATTTGTTTCAGAAATCCCTGACTTTGTGACCTCGGGCAAGACACCTCACTCCTCTGAGCTTCAGCTCCCATCTGTAAATGTGACAGCCATCCTTAACCTGCGCACAAGTTGGGTGGACCACCTGACATTTGAAGTCATTCTAATTTGAGAACTAAGCCCTGACGTTACCAGGATATAGATTTATGTAGCAGATGGGCATTTGCATACTCTTGCATTGATGCTTAAATTATCCATCTCACTGTTTCAATGCATAGACTCGCCCGTGCTATTCCTTTCACTCCAGCGTCCTCCGGTCTCTCCCATAGACCTCTCAGCCACTTGGACTAGTTGGCATATGCCGCTGCCTGACTCAGCAAGCCTGGGGGCGTCCCACAGGTACGGTCAGCCATGTGGACAGCCCAAGGTGTGGCATGCCGCAGGGCTAAGGGTCAACAGTTGGCACAGTGTTCCCAGCAGAGAGCGACAAGCTTACCCCTGCTGGGGAGGCTAGGCCACTGCTTTAAAAAAACTTTCCAGCAACTGAAAAGAAATTGCATTTACAATCCTACCATCCAAACATAGCTATTCATGTTTTTCTGTGGTTCCTCTCCGCCTTTATCTATTTGTATACAATCATCGTACTTGCACAATTTCTTGCTCTACTTTTCCCCTTCAGCATAATTTCACAAATAGTTTTTTTTTCTTTTAACTGACTGTATCATGTTTCATTGAATTACATACTCGTATATCCCTATCGTTGGACATTTCGTTTTGATTTTCCAGCTTTTAACCATGACAAATTTCAGTGCCAGAAAACAACTTCCTTCCCATAATTTCCCACTTTTCTTTTGAATTAATCCTTTCAGATCAATCCCCAGGAAGGGGATGACTAGGCTGACATTTGGAGGGCTCTTGATATCCTCACTTTCATGGGACGGTATTAGTTAACCTGTAGGACCTACAATATAGGAGCGGTTTCCAGTTTGCCCGCAGCCTTGTCAGCCCTGGGCCATTTGTTCTAAAACAGGATTCATTATTCATTTGCCTTTATAGTTATCAAATGATTTGTTGTTGTCATTTTTATAATTATAAGATTAAAGTGTTTTATTCTTTAATTGCTAGAGAAATTCCCTGCTTCTCCTGGTTTGCAGAACCCTAGGAGTTGGGGTCTGGGATGCTCTTGAGATGTCCCTGTTTCTCCCAGCAGGGCTCATGGTCAGCAACAGTTATGTGCCCTCTTCCAGTGAGTTGTCACCATCCCTACCATCAAGCTGTCGCACTGGTACTCCCAGTGTGACTTGCTTGAGCTGCTGTGCTTGCTCAGTTCTGTCTATTCATAGTTTCTCTATCACCTCTTTTACTTTGAAGCTGTCTCACTGCTCTTGGGGTGTCTGACTATGGAGTGCTGGGGATTGCTAAGGCTAGCAATGGTGCTGGAACAATGTGTGACAAGGGTGTCCCAGGGAGGACCTCCCAAGAGAGAAGGGGTTTTCATGGGCTTTTGTGTTGGGATTTGGTGACCCCTGTTGGGCTGATCAGCAGCCTTTGACTGCCTGGTCCTCACGGTGCCCTAACAGGTTAGTGGGTTTGCCCAGTGTTTAAACATGACTATCAGTGCCCGCCTTGTTCAGTTGGAATTGCAGGTTTTGTGGATGGGTTTTCCCCAATCCCATTGTCCCTCTCAGCAACTGTTGTCTGGTGCAGGGCGTGCTTTTGCTTTCTGCTAAAGTGACCAGTACTCAGAAGACGTACCCAGCCCTGAGTTGAGTCCCTTTAAACTGTCATCACTCCATCCATGACCTCCTTAGCAATAGCTGCCTCTGGTCAGGGCTGTTGAAAGCAGGGATGGGAAGGATTTGGTTGTGCCATATAAATTGACTTTTGTATGGCATAAAGAATATTTTCAAAATCTCGGTAGATTAATTCATGTCATATGTGGAGCTTGCTCTGAAAATGTAAGTCAGCCCCGGGGGGGGGGGGGGGGGGGGAGTTGGCAGGCCTCTTATCCAGGCCCCTGACCTCTCTGGAGCCTCCTGGGCTCCCTGCTAATGGAAAGTGATACCCGTGTGGTTGCATACCAGAGAATGGGTTGGCAGATCACCCCACGGGGTCAGCAGTGCTTTCCAGTGCCCTAACTTGAGTGCACCTTCTTGGGCCCAAGTGGCTCTGGCAGCATCCTTTCCAAATCACTGTCTACACAGATCATTTCAGTACACATCCAAGAAAGCATCTGAAAAGGTTTTCTAGCAAGCAGACCAACCTGTGGGGAGGAAAGAGGCAAAGGTCAGCTTAGCAGGAAGGGGACTGATCCTGGGAATGGTGAGAGGAGAGGAGAAGAGACCCAGACTATTGGGTTTTGCTTTTCATCTTTAAGCTGAAGAGGTTTGGGATGTGAGAGGAGAGAAATTTGGGAGGAGATGGGGAATGGCTCCGGGGAAGAGAAACCCTTGGGAAAAACTATGTTAGAGGAAAAATGAACAAAACCTTGAGGAGAGCTGCCTGAGCACTGATGTGAGTGTCCGCAGCCTGAGTGTCCAGACTTGGACGTTTATCCCTGTGGGCTCATCAGCCTCCACCATTCCAAGACTCTGAGGAATATTCTAAGGGCCACCATGGCTGGGATCCAAAGGAGACCATGTCTCACCCAGTCTCCTGCTCAGATCACACCTTCAAACAAAATGGCTGATTACTGTCCCCTAAAGTCCTCACCCAGCCTGGGCCTTCACATCAGTGGTGTTAGGTGACAGGACACATTATCATAAGATTCTTTTACACTTATGCAGCATTCTATTTAAGGTAGGAAGAGTAGGGTGTGCCTGAGGCCACAGCCTCATAGGACCCAGCAGGGGCTAGAAGTATAGAAAACAAGGGCCAGGCTGGGTCCTGTGTTTCAGAGGGGCCCTGTGGATTTGAGCAGGTCTGGACAGGTCTCTTGCAGATGCCGAGCCTTCACTTTTATATGCTATAGAATATGCTGTATCATGTTGATATTTTTAATGTTTTTTTCCCCCCTTTGTTCTTTAATCCACCCACCTTCTATTGAATGTCTTTGTTTCACAAGGTGCTGGGGAAGCAAAGATAACCTAGCTGGGGAGAGAGGCAGACAGGTAACATGTGTGATGAGGGCTCAAATGCAGCTCAACAGGGATGTCAGAGGCCTATCCAGTACTTGGGGTGGCCTTGAGCTTTCCTTTTTGCACCCATTCAAACTTTATAATGTGGAGACAATGTGGCGAGAGGAACACACAGTGGACTGGAGCTGAGAAGATCTGGCTGTGACTCCTGGTTCTGTGGCTTACTGTGCGACCTTGGGCAAGTCACTTGCTCTCTTGGGGGCTTCAGTTTCCTCATTTGAAAAGTCAGGCCAGAAGTTCCGTCTACCCTCAGGGTGGGTATGAGTCTCAAGTGAGAGAATGCTTGGGAAGGTGCATTGCTCCAGTGGCCAGCTCGGAACCAAGCACCCTTCTGCCACTGCTATGCCTCATGACAGTATGGTGCGTGTTATTTACTTCCGGGACTTGATCGAGGGTCTCATAGCACTTGTCCAACTCTACAGCGAGATTCCCCCCTCCCAGGGGGCAGTGAGGCTGGTTTTTTCCCTCATTCCTGTTTTGCAAGAAGAAAAGCTCAGCCCTGGGACTCTCACGTGCCGCACCCCAAGGGGAAGGTTGGGTCTGTGTTAGGGAAGGATTGGGACCACTGTCCTGGCCTTTGACCTGGGTCTGCAGAGCAGACTCAGAGTTTCTGCTTCAGCCGGTGAGAGGGGTTCAGGTTCCAGCACCTGCCCAGGTAGGGGTGGGGCAGAGGATGGCCTCACCCATGAAACACATGGAAAAGTAGTGCACAAGCCTCGCTGCCAACACCAAGGCAGATGCTTTAGGCCACACCCAGCTGACAGAGTAGAGGGGCACTGTGGCTCGAGCAGATAGTATGCACCCCTGCACCTTCTCACCTCATTCCCTCTTCACCCCTTTACCACCACCCCGCCCCACTTTCTCTAAATATTTACTCAGCATCTGTCACGTGGTAGACACCAGCCCTGAGGATGAGGATCTGATTCATGGCTCCTGCCCTTGAGAAGCTCACACCCCAGCAGGAACAGAGGCTTCTGGCATTTGTCTGTCTACTAACGGGAGATATTTTCAACCCCATTTGACAGATGAGAGAAGACTGAGGTGGAGAGTGACTTGGTAGTCAGTGGCAGAACCAGCACGCCAGCAGGTCTGCAGCTCATCTCCGAAGCCGGCCAGCGCACAGGGACTTCTTGCCACATACATGCCCTGCGCTTGCCCCCATCTCTGTGCCTTTGCAGAGAGATGCCTGCCTGTTACACCTGTCTCATCCCCTTGCTCCCTGAGTCCAGACCCTACCCAAGCCTCCCTGCATTCCCAGCACCTTCTCCCACCACTTAAGCCCGCACTAACCATATGTGATAAGCAAATAATAACATCATGGCAGAAGTCCCTGCTGATGGGACACAGTCAGGTGCTGGTCACTGTGCTGAGTGCCTTCCTTAATGCACCAACTTGTTTGCTCTTCAGAACAAGGTGAGCAGGTAGACGTTCCCATTACCCCCAGCTCCTGAGAGACCTTGCTGAGAGAGTTAGGGCGGCTTATCTCCCGTCACATGTTAGCCTGAGAAGACAGTGTTGGACTGTGGCTGGGGCCTGGACGCGGCCTTGACCGCACGCTGCCTTACTGGGAGACCTTGTGTAGCTCCTTCGCCTCCTGTGGGCCTTGGCTTTCTCATCTGTTATGAAAGAACTTCCAGGTGATCATGGTCTATGTGGGAGTGCAGCTGAGGGATATCATGGAGTCTTCCCCCCGGAAGTTTCCTGTTCACTTATAGTGGATTTCAAACATACGCAAAAGGAGAGAGAATAATGTTGGAAAAACTAGGTCATTTGTCCCATTGATTGTCTCACAGTCTGGATTTGGCTTATTCCTGCCTCATGCCATTAGTTAACTTCCTCCTCTATGTCTTGTATTTCCTGTAAACTAATAGTTAGATCTAAATGAGATACCCTTTATATTGACACTGTTCGATAGAAATATAATATGAACTGTATATTCAATTTTAGATTTTCTAGTAGCTGCATTAAATAAGAAGTGAGAAGAAATAGGTGAATTAATTTTAATATTTTTATTCAATCCAATATGTACAAAATATTATCATTTTAACATGTAATCGATATAAAAATCATTAATGAGATATTTTACATTCTTTTTTCCGTATTCCATCTTCAAAACCCAATGTGTATCTTACACTTACAGCACATTTAGTTCATTCTCAGTGCAGTGGTTAGCATGAAATACAATCCTACCAAAACAACAAAGCTGTGTTTACGGGAAAATATTTCACACCATTTCAGTTTTTGAATTAAAATGACTTCAAATGAAATAAAATTTAAAGTTCAGTTCCTGGTTGCACTAGCCGTATTTCAAATGCTCAGTAGCCACGTGTGACTAGTGGCTGCTATATTGGACGGTGTTCATAGAGGGCATTTCCATCACTGTAGAAAGTTCTGTTGGGTAGCACTGAACAAGAGGCTTAAGCAGATGTAGGTGTCACAAGTGTTGCTGTGTACTTACTGTTGTACCTCATTGTGTCCAGTTGTTCTGTTTTTCAGGATGCTGAGATTGATTAGTGTGTCCATGGGTGCTTCTGGGCATTTTTAAAGAAAGGAGAAAAGGAAATTTTGGTGCCGTTTAGGGTGAACTAGGTGGCAGGGAGTGAGTGATTCCCCAAAGTGGGACAGAGGCCATTCTAGCCATATAAGCATCATCTGAGGACACTTAGTATGATATAGTGGTTGAAAGTCATTCTTCCTGGGTTTGAATCCTGACTGCCACTTACTAGCTCTATGACCTTAGGCAAGTCACTTAACCTCACAGAGCCTCTGTTCCTTCAACTGTGAAATAGGAAAATACTAGTACTTAGCTCACAAGGTATTATGATGGTTAAATGAGATAATGTGCATAAAGCACACATTATGCACAGAGTAAGTAGTCAATGAATATTAATTACTAATATTATGTTATTGTAAAAATATGGGTTCCAAAGCTTTGGGGCTAGAGAATCTGATTTGGTAGGATCTGTGGTAGGACCTGGGATCTGCATTTTGAACAAGTCTCCAGGTGATCCCCCTGGCCCAGATCCCTCCCCGACATTTTTCCCTGGGATGACCCTTGGCTCTGACCCAGCCCCCAAGAAGCACATCCTGGCTGAATACCCCAGCGTCTGTCAGAGGACAGACAAGCCCAGTAGAGTTGCCAGATTTAGCAAATAAAAATCCCGTATTGTATCTGGCAACCCTAAATCTCTAATCCAGCTAAAACTGTAAACTAGCATTTATAGGAGAGGTTGTTCTGTGCCGTGGGTCTCCATTCCTGCCATATCTACCATAAGGTGCAAGAGTGTGGAGTGTGAGGACAAAAGTAGCACTTTTGGGTTTTTAGATAGGTCTTTACGTTTCAATTAGGGACCATGTCTAGATTTTTGACTCTGAAGAGGCCATCTTTTATAAAATCCAAGAAGGGTCTTTAGGGGCCATCTTACTTCTTCTGCTCATTCTGCAGATGGGGAAACTGAGGTCTGACTGGAGAGGGGGAGAGGAGTTGTCCAAGGTCAGTGGCAGGGCTGGACTGGAACCTAGGTGTCCAGCTGCTGGCCCAGCATATGTTCTTCTCTGTCATCCCACAGTACTTGTTTCTGTCCTCTGCTACCTCAGTCGTGGTGGGGGAGAGGTAACACCTAGGGTAACCAGAGGCCCTTCTGGTAACGCCCTAAGAGTGGCTCATACCCTTGTGATCCAAAGGGAAGGACACAGCGAATAGAAGAAAAGGCAGTCCCTGGTGCTGGCTGGACAAAGCCCCAGAGACGGGTGAGGGGATCCTGCCATATGTCCAGATGGTGGGGGTCAGGTTCAGGAGCTGCACCCTTTGGCCTGGCTCCCTGACACACAGGTCTGACTGGGCCTGGGCCCCACCCCACACCGGTGTCTTGCAGAGTGTCGGGAGGAGAGCTCTTCGACTTCCTGGCCCAGAAGGAGTCGCTGAGTGAGGAGGAGGCTACCAGCTTCATCAAGCAGATCCTGGACGGTGTGAACTACCTTCATGCCAAGAAAATTGCTCACTTTGATCTCAAGGTCAGTGAGGGGGTGAGGGAGGAGAATCATTTTAGGAAGAAGGAGCCCAGTCCCTTCTGATGTCACTGCCGGGAAGGGCTCAGTGCCCGTTTGGCCCTCGTCCCTTCTCTTGCTGTAGAAAACTCTGAGCTCCTAGGAAAGAAATGATGCCACAGAAAGTGTCCCTTTCCTCACTTTCATTTCACCTATCAGGCTTTCTGCACATAGAGACTGACTGCAAGAAGCTTCTTATTCAGACCACAGGTACCTTATCTCTCTCAGGGAGCACGGTGGGGTGCAGTTTTTAAATACTAGACCAACAACAGGAAACTTGAAACCAAACACATTTCACAAGACTGGACTCTTCAGTAACTGAGAACTAACTCATGAGCAGGCAGAAGTAGAAGCGTTCAGGCAAGGACTACTGAGGTTGGCTGGCCCTACAGGCCCTGCGCAGCACAGCCTTCAGCGGCCCTGGCCCAGAGGTCATCAATCTTGGAGCTCAGGGGCCTCTGGCTGCCCTCCCTGTTCCCATCCCCTACTGTGACCACAAAACTGCTTCCAGGGGCCGCTCATCATTTGTGGTCACTGGTATTCAGGGTCAAGAAAGTTCACTGTGACCACATAGGACCTCATAAAGCAAGAGTGTGGTCAAGTAGAAGGAGCAGTTCCCATAGTAACTGAACTCAGTCTAGTGGACTGATGAGCCTTTACAGGCACCCAAAGCTTAAAGATCCTCTAACCTGTGATCAGAGGGACCTATTTCCCAGGGTGAAAACCCACTCATGTTTCTGTCCAGAAATTCCTGTTGTGTTTCAAGCATTGTGCCAGGCACCTAGGTATTGCTACAGATACAAAAATCAACTGGGCCCTGTCTGGGCTTAGTTCCTCTTTTCTAGGAAACTTAGTACAGGAGACAGAAAAGAAAGACCAACAACAGAAGGAAGTATAGGGGAGCTGCAATAGAAGGAAGTATAGGGGAGCTAGGGAGCTGAAAGGAGAGGGCATCTAAGTCAGACTGCATTATCTGAGAGGGCTTCCTAGAAGAGGTGTTATTTGAGTTGAATTTTGAAGGACTGGTAGGGGTTATCAAAGGAGAAGAGTCTTCTAAGGAAGAGAGAACGACAGTGTACATGGTCCTGAAATAGCACAATGCATTCAGGGAAATACAGGCAAAGGGTGAATGTTCCAAATGGCTGGAGAATAAGCCAGGAAGAGAGCAGAAGGCAGACACAGGGTTTGAGAGCTAAGCCAAAGAGATTGAACTTTACCCTGAGGGATATAGGGGCCAGGTGATCAGGGAGGTGAGGCCAGCAGATGTGTGTTTTGGAAAAATCCCTCTGGCTGGAAGGATGGATAGAATGGGGAACACCTGGAGGCGGGGGTAGGTGCCATCCGGGAAGCTAGTGCAGTAATCGGGTGAGATGTGGGAAGTGCAAAACTAATGTAAGGAGGGGACAGATTGAAGATCAATTACAGAGGTTGGTCTGAGGCTTGATCAGGTGCCTAATTAGCTGTGGGGGATGAGGAAGACGGCAGAGTTCAGGATGACACCCAAGTTCTGACTTGGGAGGACTGGCCCAGAGAGGGCATGGCATGCCTACGGTCTCACAGTGACTGCCTCAGGCAATGGGTTCAGTTCTTACCATGGACCCCCACCCCAGCTCTTACCCTGCCCTGTGGGGTGACCTGCCGTGATTCCCCTCGGTGGGGTCCTTACTTCTCTGCTGATTGCCGCAGTATTTTGAATTCCTCCAACAGAAGACACCTTGCAGTGTTTTACACAAGAATCTGGGGTAAAAGTTGGAGTCACTGAGGAGGGTGTGGCCTAAGGGGGACTTTGGACCTCAGAGTGGTAATACACTAAGCAGGCAACCGTCTACCCGGACTGTATTTGTGTCTCCTTCCTGGCAGTACTGTGGACAATTAACTTGCTGTTTTCTGTGTCTTTACTGGCTCCAGGAGACCGACCTCAAAATGGGCTCCTTTGTCTTTTCTCTATGGGGTCTGGTAGAGGTAGGAGGTGTTGTAATCCCACAGGCTCCGTGACTAAAGCGGGTCCACGTTGTTTAGTTTGCTTGTGTGGCTGCTCGCTGTGGTGTGGGGAGTGCTGGCTTGGAGGTGGCCAGGTCGGGGTTTCATCTTCATCCTACTGTGTACCAGGATACAACTAAACCTCAGTCTTTCGGCTTCAATGCAAAGAATAATCCCTACCTGGTGCGGTTGTTAAGGGTTAGAGAAGCAGCATTACCTGCTGTGTACCAGACAGTGCTCTGTAATAATACCTGCTATTGTTATTTCCCCTCCCAGAATAGAGGAAAAGGAAACACAACTCTTGTTACAGTATGTTGGGCCCGCCAGCCTAGAAAAACAAAACTGCTAATGCAATTCTCGATTAGCCAGCAGAGCTGAGATTCGTTGCTACTGGGGCAGGTCTGGCTCCTGGGCTCAGTGTGGATGCTTTCCTTGGCCTGGAGATGGTCACTGGGTTTCCCCCGGTTGTGTGTAGGGTGATTCTGCTAACCCCCGTCTCGGCCTCCTGTTCTTAGAGTTGTGCACACTGTGAGCATTCTGACCTTTCCTCCCCATCTGTGAGTCCCTTGGTCCAGGCTCAGCTGAGCAACTTCAGGAAGTGATGAGTAGCTGGATTACCTCATGATTGGGTAGACACTTCCTGGAGCCAGAATGTGGGTAGGCATGCCCCCGGTTGGAACTTTCCACCAGCTGGAGGGGGTCATGTAGAAAGCCCAGCTGGTAGCTTAGAGGGGACTTCTTGATTCCATGTTTCCAACCACATAAAATTCATTTTACACGAATACAGTTTTCTCCCTGATTTTCACTCCCTGTGAGGTGCCTCTGCTTTTCTCAACTCTTATATTCTGTTACTCCTCACCAAGTGAGTCAGGCCAGCCTTGCTGCCCCATGGACACAGCCACTGTGTTGTCTCCATGCCCCTACCCATGACCTGTTCTCCATGCTCACCTTCCAGGAGCAGGTAATGGAGGACAGTGACCTCTCACCTGTCTTTGGAATATGAACTTCTCCTGGATCTTCCCATGATAATCTCCTCCTATGTTCAGTCACTGTACTAGAGAGGTGAAGCCCTGTCCCTGGTTAACACATGCTCCCAGCCTTGTGGCAGAGAGCAGATAAATGGACAAATTAATGTATGATAAGCAGTCTTGGTAAAAACAAATCATGGCATGCTGTTGCCCAGAAATCTATGTTGGGTCCTTGTCATCTGTAGGATAAATAAACCCGTTCAGCATGGCATTCGGACCTTTCTTATCCTGCCTTAGTCCAGATTCTGGTCTCATCCACCTTTCCCCACTCCAAAACACTAGCCCCAGGCAACAAGATGACAGATACATGTTCTGGCCTCTCTCCTTCTATGTTCATGCTGTTCCCATACAGGAAGCTGTTGCTCTTCCTTTCTCTGTCCATGGACATCCTTCCTGTTCATCCTTCTAGGCCCAGCAGAAATATCATTTCCTCTAGGAAGCCTTTCCCTTCCCTACTACGTCCCAAAGCATAACTAAGAATGGACTTGCCTTTATGCTTCCGTTGCCCTTTGTACAGTCTGAGAATGTCTATTGCTGTTGGTCACTCTTCTGCTTGTATCTAGCACTGTGCTTGGCACATGACACATTACTCAGTGTTGAATGAATGAGTAAATGAATGAATGAAATGACTTAGTAAGACCAGATGCATGCATCGATGGCAAAGACCCTTTGATGTCACCTGGGAAATGCAAAAGAGTTTGCGGGCAGAAGTCAGTGCAATGATGTGAACATTTATTGGGGGGCTATAATATGCCCAGGAGTAGAGTGACAAACATCAATGTGATATGGTACCTGCCTTCCACGGGCAGGAGATGGCCACGGTGAGACTTGGTGGGGAGGCCACCTGAAATGAAAGCTAACCATGACTCTTGCCAACAAATCCCTACTACCAAGGGGTAAGTGTTCCACCTCAGCAGAGGGAATACCAGGCCAGTGTGTGCTGTAATTCACCATAGAAAGGCTGATTGAGGTGGGTAGGTAGGAGTGGTAAAGGTAGATGATGTTGCCTGTATTTACATGGTTGGAAGGGACATTGGGGTTGCCTGCCCTTCAGTCACAGGGAGCACCCAGTGTGCCTTCAGACATGCCTTTTGCGGGACAGATTACCAGGAAATGGGGGTCAGTACCACCTAGGAACCTTACCCTGGCGTGTGATCCCTACACAAACAAAGGCCTTGTCGAGGGCAGTTTTGTGTGGTTTTGTGTTTATTTTGTATTTAGGAATTTCCCTTCTGAGTTTTGGTATTTCTGCCCTACATCCTAATCCAACTTGAGGATTCAAAAATGGAAGGTCGGCCTCAGGTCTGACTAGTATTTTAAGCAAAAAGAACAAGTCATGAGGATTGAAAAAAATTATATGCAAACCAGGAACCCTCATGGGGCTTTTTGGCTTATATAACTACTAGAAAGGAAGAGTGAATTTCTGAACAAGTACTCCAAAATTCCAAATTCCTCTATGCCCTGATCATCTTTTGAGCTGTTTTTATGTTCATGATGTAAGGGGGTTTGCTTGTCAAGCTTTCATAGGAATGATATCAACAGTACTTTAAATGTATATGGCACTTTCTATAATACAGCATGGTTACACGTTTGTTCTCTCATGTGATCCTTATGGCCACCCATTGAGGTATAGGTATTGTCACTTTTTTACACACAAGGCAATTGACATTCAGAGAGGTTAAGTAACTTGTCCAAGATCACACAGGTTGTTTTTTTTTTTATGTTTATTTATTTATTTTGAGACAGAGGGAGAGAGAGTGAGCATGAGCAGGGAGGGGCAGTGAGACAGAGGGAGAGAGAGAGAGAATCCCTAGCAGGGTCTGCATCCTCAGTGCAGAGCCAGATGCAGAGCTCGATCTCACAATTGTGAGATCATGACCTGAGCCGAAATCAGGAGATGGGTGCTCAACTGAGTCACCCAGGCACTCCAAGATCACATAGGTATTAAGCGAGATAGCT